CAGCCGTGTATTGTTTTACAGATATTGTTATATATATTATTGAGAAAAGCGTTATGTATTTGTTATATATTAAATACATGTACGTCTATATTCCAACTACAGCTTGTTTTGGTTGTTGTTTTCATTCAAGTTACTTTCTTTTCATTCTCAATACTTTCACTCTTTCATGTACAGTCAAACCTGTCTATAAGTCTTTGTATTCAGGTGGTCTTTGTAGACCGGTTCCTTTAGAACATGTTTCAGTGAGAAACCATCTTCAAGGAAAACAAAAAATGTGGTCTTTGTAGACAGGTGGTCACGAAAGCAGGTTTGACTATATAAGGCTTTGAAATTCTCCTCACCACAATACATCTCTTCTCTTCTCTTCTCAACCTTCACAAGCCATAATGGTCTCTGCTTGTCCAATAAATCTACCCGACTTGTCCCCAAAACTTAACGATCATTGGGAGATTTATTTAAAGACTCCCAAATTCAGTGGACGATTGCACCTAAATATGTTTTGGTATGTTTTAATATTGTAGGCACTTTCAAAGAATTTTTGTCATTGAATCTGTTAATTGCAGGGTTCTTGTTAATAGCCGGCAACCGGCTATTTTTTCCGGCTGTAACGGCAATCGTAGCGGCTGTCGTCACCATAAAAAAAAAAAAAAAAAAAAAAAAAATCGTAGCCGACAGAGACTGATGGACTAGAAGTTGAAACCCACAGTGCTGCAGCTCAGAATGATGACAAGCCGACGACAGTCACCAGGCAAAGTGAAGAAGGTGCCAGTGGGCAAGATGAAGCTGAAGACCAGGAGGTGAAGTCCACCCTTGACATCCTAGGTCTGGATGAGGATCTTCTTAGCCAGTCCTCAGATTCAGAAATGGAATGATCATTCACTATGTAATTATTGCAAAAAGTTTCAGCCTCAGGTACATGAATATTAAACATGTGTCACATTACATTTCAATATGCGAGAAAAGTTTAATACATTCTGATTGAATTGACAAGATTTTTCCTTCTAAGGTCTCTAGAATCTGAATGGGAGATCTTGAAATGCTAGGGGCTTGCCTTCAGGGGAGACTCCCCTCCAGACTGAGGCACTGCACCTGGACCCTGCTGGGGGCGTAACACCCCCAGACCCCTGTGACAACTGTCACATACCTGCAAACCATTTACCAATCCAATTTTGTCATATTTTTTTTTATGTGTGTTCCAATTTTTTTAATTTTTTATCGCAAACGATTTTCTTCACTGACAAGGTCCTGTAAACGTCAGTTAACCGTTTTTGCCCAGGACTACCTTGTATCATTATCATGTAATTCAAAATTGTAGATTCATCACAAATATGATTGATTTATCAGAAACAATAATGGAGCATTTTCATTTCATATTGTATATCATATGAAAAGTAAGTTATTCAGCCAAAATATTCATGATCTTTATCATTAAACTATGGCTCATACAGTGTGGTCATATCTTCAAAAATAAGGCTAAGATAGCACCAGAGAGCATCTAAAACCCTAAAGCTTCCAGGGCCCTTGGGCGGGCCCTGGACCCCGGCCGCAAGGGACTTCGCGCTCGTGATGTGCGCTACGCGCACAGAGATTTTTCTTTTGCAATTTTAGTAGCCTCCTGTAAATCATAAATAGCCTGCTATCAGAAAAATTAACAAGAACTCTGAATTGTAAGCGCTGTGAGTACTATCTGGGTGTATTATTGTACATGATTTATAAATGTCTGCGTTATTATTATTAATTTCAATTACCAGTATTACAGTGGAATCTCATAACAAAATCTTTAAGAAAAAGAAAATTGTCTTGTTTTATCCCTTTCAAGACGGGACTTATATTTAGGGCTAAATTGATCACACATTGCTCTTCAAATTGGCAAAAATAACATTTTTTCTTTTATTGCTGCATTGTTTAACAAAATGAAATGTAATGTCTCTAAAAACAACAGATAATATCAAACAGGAGTGAATATTGCCAAAAAGTTGAACAAGGGCAAATTTTTATCAAAAAACAATTATTTTGAATCTCTCAACATATTGTCAATTTAAGGATTATAAAGCTTAATTCATTTCAAAATTTCCCAGCATCAAACGCAATATAGTCATGAAACAAAACTGGATGCAATTTGTACAAAATTTTTTAGGGCCCAGAATAAAAAGTTTCTGAGCCAAACCACAAAATGTTGAATGATTGTTGCCAAAGGGTTATTGAAATCTTGTTATATCAGGAGGGTGTTTCACAAAGATCGTAAGTTGAATTTATCCCCAAGGTAGACTTAAAATTATGGAGAGCCATTTGTAGCCTTAAAATAAAATAAAATATATTCAAAAGCAAAAATTCATTCCAGTATTTCAGACTTTATATAAATTCCCCATCAAGAACATGAAATCTCCGCTGATAACATAAAATATGAATGCTTTGAATCAACATTTTATGCCTTTTAAAATAACCTTTACAAAACATTTTCATGGATGCCAACGGCTTTCCATAATTGTTAAGTTCAACTTAGGATCTTTGTGAAACACCCCACAGGATACTACCTACAGTATACTGGCATTGAAAAAACACATACAAAAGAACAAAACGGTAATAAAAGAGTACACCCAGCATCAAAATACACACCATTAATTCCCTTGTGAATATTTTTATAAGATGCAGGGTGTATTTTTTTTCAAATGTTTCATTATAAAAAGAACATTTAGGGGTCGCTGATCTAGAGCTCACTCACATGAGCCGATGAAAGTTGGGGCCTCGCATCAAGTTTGCCATGCTAGTAGTGCTGTTTGAATGGTGGATACTAAAGGCTGCCTCCAAGCCCCTTTGGAGGGCATATACCCTAATTAAACAACTAGAGATCTCCCTTTCCTGCAGGTGATTCCTACAAATTTTGGTTATAATTCATGCATGTGTTTAAAGAAGAAATATGCAAATACTGTCGCCAAGGAACTTGGGCGGCACTACCCCCAAGGCCACCCTGGGGGTACATACCCAATTTGAATAGTTTTAAATCTCCCTTGCCTAAAGATAATTCCTAGAGCGGTTTTTTAAAAACAAAGAAGAAGTTGAAAATGTAAAAAGTTTAGGGGTGACTGGCTCGGGTGAGCTAAAAAAAAAATACACCCAGCATCTTTTGCAAAAAATGTCATTAATTTCCAACATGTTATTCAGACATTGGGTAAAGACTGTTCTTTATTCCTGAAAAAAACAGAAGGACATTAAGGAATATCAATGCAGATTTGTATCCCTGTATTAACACATTTAAGGAAGCCTGACGACCTGTCTCATCTTACAGTAGTGTTGTATTTTTCTCTATATGTATGTTAACTAATCTTCTTATAGGGATTGGGTCTCAGATTCTTAAGAAAATCCTGGATTTAGCTCATGCTGCAATCATAATTGTAAACCTTTAGGTCAGTCAGGAATCCCATGACTGAATCCCAGTCTGATTTTCAAGATATTTATGATTGGAATTTGAAATTCCAAAAAAGGTTTTCCCAGTGGTGTTTATAAAACTAGTCTATTGAGGAAAATGAGTATGGTAAAACTGGTCACTCAAAGATTTTTACTTTTTTGAGGCACTTCGTGATCATTTTGAAGCGCAATTTTATTAGGGCTTCAATATTATACCATATCACGGCGCTGATAACACATCTCAGATTTTACATTGTTAAACAACGCCTTTAATGTAAAGTACATAGAGAATTGATTTAAATTATTATGGGCAAGACAAGTAGAACGTCATCATTATATACATATTTAACCCTTTACATACCAATAAAAAACAATATCCCCTTGACACATTGTATTTCTAAATGGGTTAGCAATGGATTTTAGTTTATTTCTAAATTTCCAGTATTTCACAACTACGAACAGGTGAAAACAGGGTATCCATAAGGTCAATTCAAGGCATGAAGATGATGAAATAGTTAAGTGTGTGAAGAAGATTTGCAACACACAGTGCCATCCTTTTGTTGATGGAGGTCTATTATATGTGTCAATCAAAACTCATGGAAATCCTGGTACTCTTGGCAAAGGAGAGGTTAAAAGTCTAGGGTTATAAATCGCCTCATTTGCATTATATTGGCTTCAACCAATAAATAAATAATAATAAATCAAAATTATTATATATATATATATATATATATATATATATATATATATATATATACAGTCAAACCTGCTTTAGTGACCACCTGTCTACAAAGACCACCAGTCTACAAGGACCACATTTTTTGTTTCCCTTGAAAATGGTTTCTCATTGAAACATGTACTAAAGGAACCTGTCTACAAAGACCACCTGTCTACAAAGACCACTTTCTGCGTTTCCCTTAGGCGGTCGCTATAGACAAGTTTGACTGTATATATATATATATATATATATATATATATACCGGTATATATAAATATATAGTGATTTGGGACAAAGAACCTTCCCCACCAAAATTAATTCCCTTTATCTACTACAATGCCACAGCTGACATTTTAGGTGACCTTTCCCATGATGCATCACTCGAAATTGACTAAACATGGGTTGTCACTAGGTGGTGCTGTGGATTGTGAATCTGTCATATTGATTCTTCCAATTATCCTCTCAATTGCCATGCTAGCACCTTGATACATGTTACTGAACACATTTCAATTAATGTCCAGTTTCAATGGATCTATCAAAAAAAGTATTTGACTTTGTAATCCACAAATATTTTGACCTTTGTCAATACAAAATAGGGGACTCATATAATAAGACACTTTTTCACATAATATTTAAAAACTGTGATTCTATTTACATGTGTATAAACTTATGAAAGCATTAATGAAACACAACACCATCTGAAGATTCTTGGGGGTGTTTCACAAAGATTCTAAGTCGAACTTAACTCTAAGTTTGACTTAAACATTATGGAAAGCCATTAGTAGCCCTAAAATGAACCATATTCAAAAGCAAAAATTCAAGTATTTTAGCCTCTTCATAAATTCCACATCAAGAACATGAAATCTCCCATGATAATAGAAAATATGAATGATTTGAATCAAAATTTTATGCCTTTTAAAATAACTTTTACTAAATATTTTAAAGGATGCTAATGGCTTTCCATAATTGTTAGGATTTTAGGATCTTTGTGGAACACCCCCCTGATCTAATATCATGTTACATCACGGCTTATTGCTAGTAATTGATGGATGTCTTTCCTGTACGTGTTGTCAGCAGGCAGGTTCCCATCTGCATCCTTTGCGTTCATGTTGCCACCATGTTTGACCAAAGCTTCAATGATAGGGAGGTGTTCGCACGTACAGGCTAAAGAAGGGAAAGAGAGAAAGAGATAGTGAGAGAGAGAGATATATCATTAGAATAGAGGTAAACAATATGTAACAGTAATAAAAACTGTAAATTTAAATATTACAATTTCTAAAAAGGCCGAGTCAACTGCACATTATACAAATAATACACATCAGTGAGGGCATTAGTAAGAATTAAGTTTTATTTGTTTTATAAAATGATGTTTTATAACATGATTCTACTAATGACCGGACATTATCCAAGGTACGCGTTAGGCAAAGTAAATGCCTACCGGTAGTCAGTGTACGCTTTCAACCAATCATTTGTTTAGGATCCACGTCATCATCTTATAATATAATAACGAACAACAAAAAGGAAAAAAGTAGAGACATGACACTCATATATTAAAGGTACGTGAATAATTTGGTGTTGCATACGCTATCAAGTATTGTGGAGTTTCGAACATCAATTCACACCAGATTTCCCAACAATTTTGCATCATATTTTGTCCGACCTAAGCTCCAGTAGGGCTAATAACATGATAAAACAGTCAGATGTCTTAAAATCTTTATCAGATGTGGTCGGGGAAAATACATGTGTAGCTTGGACTTGCCAAAGAAAATATTTGATCAAAAATAAAAAGAAAGACATTAAACAAGGCCCATTGCCTACTGGAACCGGGTAGCTCCTGTAAAAAGACCAGTTATGATCATGCGATTGCATTGTGAAAGAAACGTTGTGGAATCGATCAGAAAAGGTTGATCATTTAGCATATAGTATTGATGTATACTGCAAGGTTATGGAATCATCAAAATGTTAAGAAATTTGGCCCAGTCTTGATAAAGTTACAAGCACTGTACACAGAAAGATGTACAGACTACGGGACACGTGCGCGATATCTATCAGGTCCAAATAGATATATGATTTACCAAATATATCAATTAGTAGGTGGTTTCCGGGCAAATTTGTATTATCAGGTATTAGTCAAAACATATTCTTCCCCTTTCACATGATTGGTAATAAGAGCTTCCATTTCATTTTTTTGAAAGGGGGGCGTTTCCAAAACTGGTCTTTACCTTCAAATCTATAGGTAATATTAGAATTCAATAGTCAATGGGTTGATACTGTAGATAATATTTGTCTACAGAATTTGTTCATTATCAAATTTCAATGGAGGTATACCATCATTACTCTTTAAGATTTAGGATATTTTTAAGTCACTGAATTTACTGCTCTGCATAATGATTCAAAAGAAAAAAGGTTACTTTAAAGACCCACTGCACTACTCATAGCTACTTGCGCCCTCTATATATAGCAAACAATGCCTAATCGGTGACCACTGGTCCCCCATGATCCCCTTTTTCTTATGTTAATTGAGAGCTGATTTGATAAGATAACCACCTGTCAGTGACCTTGCAGGGAGGTCTAATCCCCCTCTGGCCAAACTAGTGCAAACAGGCTTTAAAGACCGTCAATACTACTGGACCAGAAGGGATTAGACCACACAGCGAGGTCACTGACAGGTGGCTATCTCTTAAATTAGCTCTTAACTAACATAAGAAAAAGCGGATCATGGGGGACCAACAGGCACCGATTGGGGAAGTTTTCTATATAGAGGGAGCAAGTAGCTGCAAGTAGCTACAAGTAGTACAGTGGGGCTTTAATAAAAAAAGACAAGAGAAGAACAAACGGGAGCCGTTACCATAATGAAGTGGGGTTTGGGCATCTTGGTCCAGAGCATTCACGTTGACCTCTCGCTCCAGGAGTAGGGTCACGACCTCCAGGTGACCTCTGTCACATGCCCAATGAAGCAGGGTCAAACCATCCTCATCCACTTGTTCGATGTTGGTGCCCTCATTGGAGAGAAGAAGTCGCACTTGATCGACATCGCCCTCCTTGCACCAGTCAAAAATGGATTTCTCTTGATCACTTTGAAGAAAAAAAAAACAGAACATCTAAAGAGTAACATACTGAACTGTCTGTAAACAGGGCTCGACAATAATAGTATAATAACCTGGATTTATATAGCGTTTATTAATACAAAATACTGTCTAAAAGCACTTTACAAATATTGTCACCCCGGTCATCGGCTTCATCTCCACTTCCTGGGGGAGTATTCCTACCATATGGTCACTGTGAGGGCATAGGCAATTACTATACACAAAAGCTGTTGTCATCCTACCGGGTCACCATTTCTCTTTTGAGTGGAAAATGTAGATTAATGCCTTGCCAAAGGATATTGGTGCTGTGTTGGGGATCGAACCACGACCTTTGAATTTTAAGTCAAGTTCTTAAACCACTTGACTACGATACTTTTAGGAGGTAATCAACGCTAACTCAGTAAAGCTTATCTGGTCTTGACCTCCTCTACAAATAACAGGTGCCAATAATTGAATGGAATAATGGATGCTCATAATCAAAGTTTCGACCACCCAAAAAGTCGCTTTTATTTTTCTTTCTTATACCCTTTTCTAACTGGCCTGATTTTCGTCGGATGCATCCGGACACATCCGATGAAACGGCCAGTATGAAAGCAACAGAGGAGAAAAAGGTGATTAAATAGCCGATAAAAAGAAGAGAAATAGGCGATTAAATTCTCCTGCTCAAGAGCAGGAGAAATTCTCATTCTATCGGTGTGACACTGATGAAAAAGGCGATTAAAACAGCGATTAAAATGGTCAAAGGTCGCAGCGTGCTTTATCGTAACCAGCTGTGTTTGTTGACTTATGGTTGAACATGCTGCATGCTAGCTAGATAGAGCGTGGGCTTAATAATTACGCAATAATTCTTCACTTCCGGCAAGGGCTCGCCACAGCGAGTGAATTTCACCTGCTGTTAGAAACCGACAGGGAGAAAACGGCGGTTTCACCTTTGTTTACATAAGGAAAATTCAATCAATATTTTTAATCGGTGTGACTCCGATAGAAGCCAGTTTGAAAGCAGTATTAGTTAACTTTAGCTATTACCCATCTTACCTCAATTCCTCTTCTTCTTCGACCAGCATGGTACTGACTCCAAGGCCAAAACCTCTGGAAGATGACTTCTGACCTTTGACCTTTAAGCTCCAGTCCGGGTCAACTTCATCCATTGCTTCAATGTATTCCATCATGGCCTGTTCTCCACTCATATCCTTCAAGGCATTCCATGCATCCCTGCAAATGATATTGAGGAAAGGAGCCTATGTTTACTCATTTTATGACACTACATGCCAGGGGGGTGTTTCACAAAGATCCGAAGTCGAACTTAACTCTAAGTTGGACTTAAATATTATGGGGAGCCATTTGTAGCCTTAAAATAGAATATATTCAAAGCAAATATTCAAGTATTTTAGACTTTTCATAAATTCCACATCAAGAACATTGAATCCCCTTGATAATAGAAAATATGAATGATTTGAATCAACTTTTTATGCCTTTTAAAATAATTTTTATAAAATATTTTCAAAGAAAACGAACAGATACTGTATAAGCACTTATATTTTGATATTTCACAATGATTTTGGATGTTCTTTCCATAGCATGAAAATCTTAATTTTTTTCTAAATCAAACTGTTAGGTTGACATAACGAAAAATAGAGGGTAAACTTTTTTTTGCAGAAAATTGCTAGTTATTCCCCCCAGCGCTCAAAATACACGGGGGCGGTGGGCGATTTGCCCCCGTGAGCTCCATAATCGCCCCCGTCAGGTTGCTCACGGGGGCGATTGCAAAATTAAAAATCGCCCCCGTGGAATAAAGATTATCTTTTCTGATATAACTTTAACACAATATTGAGTATCAATTTTCAAACCTTAAACCAATGAAATGGAACTTAAATGGCACTTTCTCTCCCATCGCTATGAGTAATTACCGATACATTAACAACGGAAGCTCGCAGTGCAGCTAGTGGGGCCGTCAGTAGTGGCTATACTGCGCCGGTAGTGCCGGTGTTACGCCGCTGACGCCCAATATCTGCTGGAGCTGGAGACGATCGCGCAAGGACATGGAGAAGTTTTTCGTTGTGAAAAGTGTGAATTCTCTGAAATATGGTTATTCTAAAAGACCAGCAAATATTGTAACTCGACCAGTAAATCAATATTGAGAAGAAGATCACCAAAGATGTTGCACGGGGGGGGGGGGGGGGGGGGGGGGGGGGGGGAATAGGCGGTTTAGGGGGCTTAACCCCCCCTCCCCCCTCCCTTGGGCTGCCAAGTGAAAATGTGATGTGCATAGAAAATGCTATCATGTGTCCAGACCTACACAGTAATAGAAGATGTCAGTAGATGCCAGGAAAACATCACTAAAGGGGGTTCAAAATAGCACCAAAAAAAAAAAAAATCGCCTCGCGGCTCATGGACAATGTAAACATCACTTACGGGGATTCAAAATAGCAACAACAAAATCGCCTCGCCGCTACGCGGCTTGTTCCACATCACATTCCGGTTACCCCCTCCCACCCTTAGCAAAAAGCTAGATCTGCCCCTGTGTTTTGGAAGGATATGATAAAGACTTAAAGTAAAGAAAGAATGTAATTAAGGTTGCTCCGAATAATGAGGAGGACATTATGTGCAGAATGGGAAGAAATGGAGAGAATGTCATCACGGGGATAAAATTCAATAACAGCTATGTAACAAATACATTTCTAAGAGGGAAATTGCCGACTTAAATAAATGATAATGATAAAATACCAAGGAATTTAGGAGTTTCATGGGTATCAATTCAATGGAAATTTGTATTAAAATAAGAGCCCCCGTCAGCACTAAAAGAGCCCCGTGAGAAGGCTCACGGGGGCTCTTTTTTTTTGGAAGAGCCCCCGTGGACAAAAAATTAATTTGAGCCCTGATTCCCCCAGTGTGTGATTGGAAAAGGTTTCTGTCTGTGTATGGGGAATGTTGACAAAAGCCATTTAAAAGAAAACATAAAATTCCCAATACCAGATGGTCATTGCTGTCTGTAGTGTCTAGACCACCTCAAGCTTCTACCAATACCATGTTTTATTATGGTCCTATCATTTAGGTCCATGATTTAATACAGAATTTTCACTTAGGAGTCATATGCACCTTTTTTTCTACACACTTACCATTTTTGTTTCCCTTGGAAGTTGAACATACCAGGCCTGCATATGTTGCATTTTCCAACTGTTGCCTGAAGGCATTGGAGAGAGAAAAATAAATGTTTGATCAGCTGATTTAGACAAAAGTCATAATGTATTTCAACCCTATGTGCGAATCAATATGCACCCTGTTCGCCTGAACCCCCCCCCCCCTCCTAAAAATTTTTTTATTTATTTATTTTTAATTTAATTTTTTTTTGCTCATGATTGATTTAAAAAAATGGTGCTCCATACTAAGAGTAATTCAATTCAATTCAATAGATAAGTATAAAGTATAAGTAACAGTAAATTAACAAAGGTTATAGGCCAATGCGGGGCTTTCCATGAAGGTTGCGAAAACCTGTCAAGTTGGATCGCCCATTACAGCAATACAAAATATTATAAGCCAGGTTATAAGCACACAACAATAAATTAAGTAAAGCACAGTACAGACATTTCTAGGCTAAGGCGAGGAGAAAATGAAATAGAAAAAAAAATATATATAGATCTAGACCTAGTATAAGGGGGGAAAAGAAAACAACAATGAAAGGGGGTTAATAAGAAACACAAAATCAATAACTGTGATGATTAATTAACTATTTAGTAGTAAGATTTTATATTGTTTTTTAAAGGCAATTTGATTTTGTTATAACTTGGGGAATCATATTCCACTAGATTAGGACCAAAGCTAGGGCTAAGTAAGAGACGGTGACAGACCGACAGTGGAGCTCCATCGTCTGACGTACGTATCTAGTTCAGCAGAACAAATGGCATTGAATGATTGATACACTGCATTATATAGAGACGAGTCTGAACTCTGTCTGAAGCTTTGTCTAATTTGTTGTACTAATTAATTGGAAGCCCAAGATTAAATTTTTTTAAAACAATATTCTTCAACTCTCTGGAGGGGGGGGGGGGGGGGGGGGGGTTACTGCAATTGGTATCACAATAAATGATCACCTGCTTGAATCTTGCATAGAAATATAACAGCTTGGTACTGCCAAGATTCCCAGCGACTGAAGTCATAAATGTTGTTGCTCTTTCAAAATCCCTCTGAAGATCAGTCTGCTCTTGTTCTGCCAGCACATCCATCAACTTTCCACTTTCACAGGCGACTCCCTCGTCCTCGAAATCCATTTTCGTTTGATAAAGTTATCTAGATTTCTACATCTAACTTAGAAATCTAACTAGATCTAGAACAGAGGTTAGATCATATGCATACACTGAATGAAGGCCCAAGAGGCAAGACCATGAAGACAAGTTCAACTTCAATTCAAATTGAATTTCAAGTTCCAAATTGTTTAGACTCAGACTCAAGTCTCAAGTCAAGACTCCCACTGCACTCCCAGTCCAAGGCCAAGAGGAGGAGTCAGAAGTCAAAATGAGCTCAGCTCCGGGCTACCTGTAAATCATGTCATTGTTTGGTACTACTACTAGGCCTACTAGTATGCATGATCTGACAAGCATTGAATTGACTTCGAGTCTGTTCTTTTTGTAGCTTTATTCCATTGTAAATGGACAGAGAATAAGAAGCGGAGCTGACCTCATACTCAATCATGTACACACGTGTGAATCGAAGAGATGTTATGGTTTGCAAAGGTCGAACTACTTTCGCTGCCGTCAGACACTGGATGCATATCAGCGCTATACAACATGACTGATATGACGCGCGCGACGCAGCGAATTTAGTCCCCCAAAATCAGCTGTCGCGCGCGCCGTACCGGTAGTCTCACAGTCAAACGTTACACCAATTTGCACCTTACAATCCAGTCTTTTTAGGGTTATTGCTTCATCGGAATATCATGAAGTATTAAATGTACGTGCATTCCTAGCCTGCATCATGCCTGATTCTACCTGAAATACATTAATTGTAAATTTATCAACAAGTTAACCGTACTATCAGGATTCAGGGAGCAGTCAGGAGCAGCCAGCAGACTTCGACTGCAGCTTAGCCAAGGCTAGAGACTGAGTTCTGTTCGTCGACGTTGTCATCAGTGCAGCGCATCTAGCTAGGCCTACTACATATACAGTAGCACTGCACTGTAGGAGTATGTAGCTTGCATGTATTGCACGTCTATGAATCATCTGCACTATACTATACTTGACAGTTGACACATCACAACATTGCACAGCTGATTGGGATACCACGACAAGGAGCTGATCCAATCTAGTTGCGTGTAAGCCTGCAGTATACTTTAATTATTTAACAACTAATTCACTCAATAGAGAATGACTATGAATTATGGGGGTGTTGTGTGTGTGTCCAATCCAATCACTGTCTTTACAAAAATAAAGCCTTCTCTTTTGTGTTTGGATTTCATGAAATATGTTCATGAGATAGCACTGAACGTCATAAATATTTGTCCTGTATAATCTGTTCTAACATAAGCAGAAGTGGCGCAGCTGGTCTGAGAATGAGATCCTTGTAAACGTGGACAAATCCTTCGGCGCTTTGTGGGTGTAGGGTACTGCGTACGCGTACCGGGTAATAAAATGCCCCCAGTTCACCGTCTACTTTTATGGGTATTAACTGTCCATCTTCCAGAGGAAAGTCTCTGCAAAGTAAGTGTGAAGTGCATCTGATTCTGAGCATCATCGCAGGATCTGTTTTTCGCATCGCCAACACGAGGATCGGAAATAAGAATCGTCCACGAAAATGAGGACGATCCTTATCAGACGATCCTTACTTTTAGGACGAAGAAGAAGAGGAAAAAGAGAAATGAGGAGAAAATGGAGGATCATGGATGATAGATAGTTTTGTTATTTGATACAGACATGCCACTTTATCGACTGCTAATATTTTTAACTGTAATGATTCAGTTTGTACATGAAATATATGTTGAAGTAAAAAAATGCGAGAAAAACTGAATTGTTACATGTAGACTATCCTAATATTTCTGTAATGCTGTAAAGGTAATACAAAGTTTTGGTATGGGGTCATGAATTTGGCTCAAATGAACATATTGGAAGCACATGCGATTTTAAAATATTCAATGATCGCTGTGGCGGTTGAAATCGAGTCTAAAGTGATAAAAGTGTAAATAATAAACTCTTTATGTTGTATAGCTCCCTCTCAAGACTGATATTACTTTAGCTGTAAAACAACTTTTCTTGACTACAATCTACCGATTAGCTATTCCGTTTGGAAATTATATATCAGAACTGCATATTCATAGTCGCAGCTACCATGAAATGGCCTTAGCATAGGCGCGATTTGAAATATTCAAAATTTATCGGGAGCACTGGTAAATTTTGATTGTTCAATTTCACGAAAGCAGAATTGTTTTAGGGGGCTATATTTTCTAGTGCTTATAAAACATCCACATGGGCATCCAAATATATCAAACTTTAAAGAATTACTATCCAGTATCCATCCAATTTCAAAAATTTCCCAAAACTTTGTAGTACCTTTAAGATTTTGTTGGAATACTTTTGCTATCGACCACATCAAGAGTTGATTAATTATACAAGATGCTTGATTGCCAAAACAGATACTTATAATGTACAGTAGGCTTGCGGTTGCACCATGTGAGAGAGAGGGAGGGTTGGAAGTCCTGAGAAGGATACTTATACAGTGTACATTGTAAATTTGGATCTACAGTGTACTTAATATTTATAAAATCATGTGTACTGTGGAAGTATTGCAGTGTTATGAAAATAAATAAGATACATGTAATGTAGCTCTGATTCAAATTCAATAATCTACCTCATGTTTTTGTTGTTTCAGGTTGAATTCTTGGTGTCATTCATTGATGTGCCGATCAGAGCGCAATCAGGATGTTTTCGGCATTGAAGAAGCTGGTTACCAATGAACAAGGGGACACCAGACCCAACATCCCCTCGGGGATGCAGGCCATGGGGGTCAGTCTACAGCGCAAGTTTGCCAGAGGAGTACAATACAACAGTGAGTATATATTACATGCACAAACAAGTTATTACATCAGTGGAAAATATGGGGGGGGGGGGGGCTGACCCATATGTGTGTGTATTGGGTTTTTACAGACGTGTATCAATCAGATATGATTATATACGTCTTGGGACCAACCTTTAAACGTCACCATCCGAAAGACATGACTCGGTTTCGAACCTGCGTCCTCGGCTGAATCAGTTTGTAACTTCCATTAGCTGGATTACAGGCGCACGCCACAATGCCCATGCCTCCCCCTCTCTCCTTTTAAACCCATTTGGATAATTTATTCATTATAAAATAATATTGTTGCCCCCTTATTATGTGATTTACATGTACCTGTCAGTTAGTTGCCTCTTGGAGGGGGAGGGGGGGGGGGAGGGGGAGGGGGCACGAGGACAATTGAATAGCCTGTCCTGTCCTAAACGGGATATTGGAGGGATTTGGAGCACCTTGAGCACCCTACACGGCTACATGGTAGATACATGTACAAGCACATACTGTATTAAAGGTATAGACCAGTTTTGGAAACGTCCTCCTCTCAAAAAATGAAATGGAAGCTTAGCTCTTATTACCAATCATGTGAAAGAATATGTTTTGACTAATACGTGATGATACAAATCTTGCCCAAAAAACTACCTACTTATTGATATATTTGGTAACTTATTATATCTATCCGGACTGGATAGATATTGCGTAGTCCCATATCTTTCTTTGTCGAGTGCTTTAAACTTTACCCAGACTGGGCCAAATTTCTCATCATTTTGATGATTTGAGAACCTTGCAGTACACACCAATACTTATATGCTAGATGATCAACCTTTTCTGATTGATTTGTTTCTTTCACAATGCAATTGAATGACCAGAACTGGTCTATACCAGCCAGTGTTACTGTTCTCATTGTTTATTCATTTGTTTTGATAGTGAGAGTGATCATAAAAGGGGACAGGAACACAGGGAAGACAACACTCTTTCATCGGCTACAGGGAGGCAAGTTCTCAGAAAGTTATCTTCCAACAGCAGAGATTCAAGTAGCCAGTATACAGTGGAACTACAAAGGTAATTTAATTATCATCCTCTCTGATCATCTTCTTGTCACTGATTTTCTGACTTATTGAAGAGGGTAATCCGATCGGTGATAAAATATTGAAAATTACTGTTAGTTCTTTTTTGTTTACAAGCAGTGGAAAAAGTATCTCTCTTTAGATTTTTCAAGTGCCACGGTCTGTAAAAGCTTGCAGCATGGCAAGTGAAAGCTTCCCAAATCAGTTCATTTTTGTTCTGAATGCCAAGAAAGAAGTTAGTTTCAATGATCTTCTGACTGTTTTAGCAACCACACCTGAGGTATTCGACATGCCCCATTATTACTTTGTGATACTTTTCTTTAAAATTCTTTTAGTTGCAAGGACAAAGACCACCTTGCGACCCCTAGTGGTATTCGCTACCGCCTCATGGGGGGTAGATCCATGTTGGATGGAGAGGGCAATGATACAGGGTACATTTCTTAATTGGTATTGGGCAAGTCAAAGGTTTTGTGACGCATATATGTTACTGACATCGTCAACAAATTTAGTATTTCTAATGATGTTATCAATCTGATGCAAGCACAGTACCTGTAGTTCCACTCAAGATCAGATTAGAGAAAATATCAAGGATAATGACATTTGTTATGTTGCTTAAATGTATGTTTTAAGAGGATTTGGTCATCGATTGCATTGTGAAAGAAAAGGTGTGGAATAGATCACAAAAAGTTGATCATGTAGCATGTAAGTATTGGTGTGTACTGCAAAGTTCTGGAGTCATCAAAATCATAACAAAATTTGGCCCAGTCTTGGTAAAGTAACAAGCACTGTACACAGAAAAATGTACATGTACATGGGACTACACCAATGGTGTCCGGCTACAAACCTTGTTTTCCTAATCTTTCTATGCTCATTACTCAGCCAGTATACATTTTCTACCAAAATTGTTCGGCAAATGACATTTATTTGTAATCTTGAACATTCAGTGTAAGTTTCATTTATTTCTGTGAGAATTCGTTTCCTTTTCTTTTTTTACCAGAACTCACCTTTATCTTTAAGGACTCTATAATATTTGGAAATGTATTGGTCACAAAAAACTCAATTAACTTTGACATGCCCATTCTTATTTATCTGACTGTTATTCTTGTTTCAAACCAACAGCTACCGATGATGTCGTCAAAGTGGAAGTCTGGGATGTGGTTGACAAGGGGAAGCCCCGGAAACGAGAGAGAAACACCCTGAAGATAGACAACAAAGAGACCGATGAAGATGACCCAGACAACCCCTGCCTGGACGCGTCGTTCCTTGATGTCTACAAGGGAACTAATGGTGTGGTGATGATGCTGGACATCTCTAAGAAATGGTAAGCCAGTGACATGAGGAGGAGGTGAAGGAGGAATTTGAAGATGGTGGTGATGGTGAAGGGATGGTGATGATTGGTG